GACTTAAGAATAAAACTATTCCTATTTGAATGAAAAGAATAGGTTCGTTTGTTTATCTGAACTAGACAAAATTATATGTAGTCGTGCCTCATTTCAATCTAGTTATTCATTTTGTGTTGTGTGAAGTAAAAGGCGAAGCCAGAATGGGAAAGGGTCAGAAACTGGAATTACTGGACGACCTTTTCTTTCTCTCAAACAATCAATATTTCGCCAATTTTTCCATTTGAAACGATGTCTTTATGTATAAAACTGTGTTTTAATGTTTAAAAAGTCAATAAACCATACATGTTCGTTAAATATTTTTACGAAATTGCAACAAAATACCCTCCACACTAAGTCCACCGTTGGTTAAACTCATATATAAAGGTCATTTTCAAACAATTGATTATCGAATGAAAATAATTAAAAAGATAAAACGCTACTAGATAGGTTGTCAAAATAGACGGTTCTTGACTGGATGACATTATTTTCCAGGAATTGAACTATAAAACACAAACTCAAGATTGATCGGCTAGTATTTGGATTATTATATAATCGTCAGCTATTAATATTCGTCTACAAGAGCAAGTGTTTTGCATATAAAGTATGTTGTTTTGTTTCCAAGAAGAACTTATGACGAGAAGAATACGATGGGGCAAATTATGATTTTATTATTCTATATTTTCACTGCTATAAAAATGAAAGATGTATTTCCATTGTAAATGCACGGGTTGAAGGATGTGGTATATGACTAGATGAAATACACTTTGATTGTTAAGTGGAAATAAGATGGGAAAGTAACTGGCTGATTAGATTTTTAGATAAACGAATGGAAGGATGAATTGATGGATTAGTGGATGGATTATTGGGTGAATGGATGGATGGTTGGATAGATGAATGGATGGATACAGAGTTGAATAGATCGTCAAATAAATAGAGAATGGTTAGGTATTATAAATAAAAAATTGATGTATTGGTTAATGAGTGGAAAGATGGCTAATTAATGAAAAAATAAATGAATGTTTAAACGAATGATTGAATGAACGAACAAACGAATAAACAATTAAACAAATGAAGAATGAAAGAACGAAGGTACAAATAAAGAAATGAAATGATAGATGGACGGACGGATGGATGACATGATGAATGTTTGTGTATAATTATTATTATTGCAATGCATTTAGTTGGAAGCCTACATTAGCTGCCAGCGTTCATTTAATAAGTGGATCCATGTCACTAGCTACTACAGGTGTGTTTCGACCGAGATGACGACAACGATGACGATGATGATAGGAAAGTGATGATATTGATTAAGAAGTGATGAAGAAGCAGATGATGAAGATGACGTGATGATGATAAAAATGAAGTAATGATGATGATTAAAGAGTGATGATGATGATAAACAACAACAACAACTACTGCTATCACTACTACTGCTACTAAAACTACTACTACTTCTATTACTACTGCTACTGCTACTACTACTGCTGCTGCTGCTACTTTTTCTACTGCTACTACTTCAATGCTACTATTATTCCCTTGAGTCTGTAAACTGTTCGGAAAATATTGTTTTAAATAAGTTAAATTTATTAATATCAGTGTTAGTGTTAATAATAGCAATAATAACACTAACAAATAAGAATAAATAATAAAATTAATAATAAAATTAATAATAAAACTATAATCATATTATTAATCCACTCATTCTACCTTTCGGAGACTTCTTTTGAGATGTTGTTCACCTGAACTATAAACACTTGGAAAGGTGATGACGACGATGACAAGGATGATATGGTGGTGATGATGATTGTGATGTGGTAATGATGGTGATTGTTATGATGATAATGATTATAATGAAAATGATGATTTTCTGATTATGACAAGAGGCTTTTGTATTGTTTTTTTTAACTCGCAACTCTGTCAAACGCTGACAAAATTGCTTACCTATATCTATAAATCACCCTACACATATTATAGCAAAATTTTAATGGCACATGGAGGTCTGTAAACATTCACACAACACAACACCACACAACACAACATCACAACACACAACACAACACACTTACACACACGCACACACACACACACACACACACGCACACACACACACACACACATACACACATTTCGTACACACGCGCAGCAGCTACATCATAAGCACATGGCGTATGAGAGTCTTTGAGTTTCGGACAGATAGCATTTGAATCAGTTAACGGCGTGTTCGTACAATGCAAAATATGGCACTTCTACTGTCTGAGCTAACTCGCCAAAGATAGTGACTGAGACAGAACAAAACAACTAATAAAAGTAAAATAGGAATGTTAAGGAATGTTATTACGATCATTTTGATTGACGATGATGACTTTATGAATGATGATACTTATTATTCATTCCAATTGTTCCTGATTTATTAATACTAAAGAAATCATTTATCAAATAATGGAACAATAACATCTTTTTATAGAATGAAAAAATTAAGACTAAAAAATATACAAATTATAAGATTAGAAACAATGAACTATGGCACCCGCCCCAGAGTCAGCTTGCGCCACATGACAAGCAAATGCTTTACATTCTTTATTTATGACTAGTTCAGTTCTTACCAAAATTTTCTATTAGCTGATTAAACTCACCATCAAATGGAATGGTGTTTCTTTGTAGAATCTTCAAATCCCAACATATTCATCACCATCAACTTCATCACCATCATCTTCTTCATCACCATCATTTTTATCACCATCCTCTTCATCACCACCATCAGCTTTATCACCATCATCTTTATCACCATCATCTTCATCATCATCTTCTTCATCACCATCTTCTTCATCACCATCATCTTTTTCATCACCACCATCTTTATCACCATCATCTTCATCACCACCATCATCTTCATCATCACCATCTTCATCACCACCATCATCTTCATCATCACCATCTTCATCACCATCTTCTTCATCACCATCGCCACCGTCATCATCTTCATCATCACCGACATGCATTGATATAGTATCTCAAGCAAATGTATTGTTACAGGTATAGATAGAGGTACGTAATAATTGTTTGGCCGGGTTGTATAACGAGAATATATATATATTTTTTTCATCGTAGAGACGCTCAATATTGAGAAGCTAAGCTAAGCTAAGTTAATTGCATTGTAAATCATTGTCTTCACTAAATCTTTATGTTTTATTAAATTTTGTTTATTAAATAAATTTTTTAATAATTCAGATTTTAATGAAATTACGTGATGTTGTTTGGATAACGAACTGATGAGGCAGGGGTTGATGGGAATACAAGTTATTTCAATGATCTCTGGCTGTTGTTTTTTTTTATATTTTGCTGTTGTTGGAATCACGAACAGCTTAACAACAATCACAAAAATTGCTAATAAATAAATAAATTAATTAATATATATTTATATACATAATTTAATGAATAAATTAATTAATAATTAAAAAAACACAACTTTTCCATTATTGAATTGAATATAACAAACAACATAACGAAACAAATATATTAATGGATCGTTAGATGCTAAACGTATCCCAATGTATTAATGAAATATTAACATCTATGAAACCTACAAAAAGTCCAAATTATCATCAATAAGATGATGAAAAACACATTCAACGTTTACATAATCCCTTGTGGTTATTTTAATTTCATCAACAATTTTGGCAGAAGCATCCCAGAAACTATTGCAGAGACAGGACTTAATCAAGAAAAAATTTCCAATTTTGAAGAAACTGAAAGGAAATTGTCATTTTTTTAAAAATAGTTCACAATTTTAACGGAAGACAAGCAAATTTTGAAACACCACCAGGCAGTGAGGCTAGAAATTTTTCTAAAAAAATTTTCAGTTGAAAATTAAAAAGTAAAACGGACATTAAAAAAATAAATTATTTTTAAAATATAATTTTGTTCCTTAAAATTCTCAAAAAATGAATAAAATTCATAAAATTCATTCACCTGTTTTTTTTTTTCAAATTTGCGTCTATTTTATTAATTTCACATAAAAAATAAATTGCGTAATTGCCAATTCGATTATTTCGGTAACAATAAAATGTATTGGTAACTGTAAAAATAGTAGTAATAGCAACGTGGGCATTTATAGTATTTTATGTAATATATTAAACTACATAACCTAACAGCGTCTAGAGAAAAAAAACATCTCATACCATTCTTCAATATTCACATTCCACATGCTACAACGACAGCATTTAATTGTTTGTTTGTTTGTGCAGTTTAACGGCGTTTCAGCACAACTGGCTATCTTAGATTATTGATTTTATCTCTGGAAAAAATTTTTCTACTATTATTGTGACTATTATATTTGACCAAATTGTGATGGATAGTTAGTTAGTTTTTCGTTAAAAGAGTTGCATGTAGGCGAATTTGTTTAGTTGAGAATCCAGGAATGAGTCAAACTTGATTGCATTTAATTGCGTGGCCTTAAATTTCGTTACAGTAAAGAACCGTTTACGAATATGAAACATAAGGCGTATGAAATGGTTGAGAACGTTTCGATCGGATGTTGTTTCAACGTATTTGAGGAAATCTTCAGCAGCAGAATTAAAATCAACCAAAAAAGCGTCAACAAAACCAGCAATAACAATAACATCAAAGTATATAGCATCAACAATCGCAGCAAAAAACTACTTATATAACGCTATATATAACAAAAATTGTGTAACGCAACTCCATTGAAAACGATTGTAACTGCAACAGTAACACTGGCAACAATTTATAAAAACCAAGAAACGTCAACAGCTTTAAAATATCAGCAACAACAACATTTACAACTACAACAACATCAACAACAACAATTTCCCCATCGCCAACAACATCAACAGTAACTCAACCGCCAACGATGACTCACTCAGCATCATCAGTCCTTTCATCAGCAACATCAACTTTATGACAGTACATGCCATCATTCATTTTTTTTCTACTTTTCTCCTCAAAATATTCCAAAAAATTAAACAAAACCATCACCAGCCAACAATGTTGAGACTAAAATGGAAAATGAAACCAACTTAAAAATTTCCACGTCCAACGCACAGAGATCTAAAAATAGCATAAAAACTTCTCCACCAGTTGTCGAAAGATGGGCCTACAAAAGCGAAACCAAGCCGCAAACAGCTGATCCTAAAGCGAAACAAATATCAAAACACTGGAAAAACCCAAAACGCAGTGTAAAAGATTTCGAAACTGTCTCAGAGATTTACTCAAGCACACTTTCGCTTTCGCATTATTTAGCTGAAGTTTCTTCCGATGAAGATAATGGCGATGTTGAAAAGGGTGAAGATAGTGTTAAGAATGACGATGATGATGTCATTATTTTTGCAGACGATTACTATGATGACGATGATGACCTCAAAGAAAAGTTAAATAACGACGATGAAAGAAATAATGAAAGAAACGTACATCGATCCACCGAAAAGGATAATAAAACTGATGCTGTTGATGATGAGGAAGAAGATAATGACGACGACGATGATGATGACATTAAAATTAGCAACAATAAGGACAGAACTGGTGATGAGAAAATTTTATTGGATGATGATAACAATGAAGACGACAACAAAACGAATCAGGAAGAAAATAAAGATGACGATAGCGATAAGGATGAATATCACTCAGTGAGCGGTTACAACGGCAATGATCTTGAAGATTGTATCTCAGACAACGAAGATTATAGCTCAGGCAACAAAACGACCAACAACGAAATCATATTTTACGCTAACACTGATAAATCACAAAAATTCTCTAAGAAGAACAACGATAATTATAACAACATCAGCAGTAAAAACATCGTTTATGAAAAGATTAGTGATGAACAGTTCGATTTGTACAGCGTTAGCCAGCTGCCAAATGTTACATCGAAAGATGAGAACAACTACAACATTTATGATAGTAAAAATGGCAACAACAAAATTGTGCATTCTTCCAACAGCCACAACAACAATAACAACAACAACAATAACAACAACAACAACAACATTATTTCTAACAATGACAACATCAGTAGTAACAACAACAACAACACTTTGAATAATAACATCGAAGCACTCAATACCAACAACATCAACATTCAATCGTGTGCTGATTTGGTGAACAACTTTTTCAACTGCACCAACAACAGCATCAACCAGCGCTTCGAATCAGCTTTCAGTACCAACAACAACAACAACCACAACAACAACATCCTCAACAACAACAACCACAACAACATCCTCAACAACATCCAAAACAACAACAACAACAATTACAACAACAACCACAACAACAACCACAACAACATCCACAACCACAACAACCAAAACAACATCCACAACAACAACAACATCCACAACAAACTCGATAAGTTGTTCGCCGCAACGGACAACAACAGCACCACAGTCGACAACAAAAACGTGCCCAACAACAAAGTAGACGACAGCATAATAATACTGCAACAGAGTTACGAAGAATACCAAAGAAAAAAGTGCGATGCTATCTTCTCAGCGACAAATCCTGAACAACAAAATCAAAATGACGTCCCAACGGCAACAAACACAACAACAAATACAACAACAACAACAAACTGTTTTTCATGTTGCAATTGTTTTGTTCCGAGTTTTAGAAGAATTTCAAAGTTGATCGTCATGAACAAGATTTTGCACAACAAGTCTCGTGTTTCTAGTTTGAAAACAAACTTCCAATCAGATTCAAATTTGAATGGGGATGAAAATGTTGATAGCAACAGCTATCAGGACAACAACAACAACCACAACAACAACAACCACAACGGTGGTAAAAGGTCATCATCGTCGTCATCTGCTCCGTTTATTTTTACGACTTCACTCACAACAACAAATCAACTCAAAAAATATTACTACACCAACGAAAACAACAACGAAGCAGCTGGAAGTATTGACAAGAACGCGACTTCACTTGCTGGCGATTTGTATGATAATGTTGTAGATATATGTAATGCAGCATCTTCAAACACATCGCAAAAACAACAGCAAAAGCAGTCACCACCTCAACCACTTTTGCAGCCACTGCATCAGCAGTGCTGGCACCTGACAGACTACCTGTGCATCGGTGATCGTTACTGCGCCTCGAACGGTCAACTCCTCTGCCAACTTTCCGTGACTGGTCTCGTCATACTATGCTGTCACGATGACGTCATCATCAAAAACAACAACAACAAGTTTAATAATACATTAAACAGTGACAACAAAACCGCCAACGATATGAACCGCGCTGAAGTCCGTGAGAGCCCTAACAACTACAACGACCAGCACAATGGCCACGCAAACAACAGCAACAACCATAACATTAACAGCAACAGCAACCACAAACGAAAACAGTCGACAGGCACCCACTGGTATGACTTCCAAAGCAACAGAAACGAGCCCAGATCTGCATCGCTAAACAACAACCACAGCAGCAGCACATTGCACCCAGAAAGCCACCACAAAAACAAAAACAAACAACACAACAACAACAACAAAAATAACGGCAACCCCACCTCTGAAAGACCAGCAACGCCATCTGGATATACCCATCCTGAATGTGATATGGACCATGCCATCCCCATGGTCCCCTGCGTTTGTGATGCCTCCCATGATAAACACAATAGATCTGCTCTCAGACTCAACCTTACCGGTTTTCGTTTGTTTGTTGATTTGTTTGTTTGATTGATTAATTTTTGTCTGTTTGTTGGTTGGTTTGTTTGTTTGTTTGTCTATCTGTCGTTTTTGTTTGTTTGTATGCTTGTGTGTGTTTTTATCTGTGTCTGCATTAAATTTTTTTAGACAACAATTTTTTTTAGCTCAGCAGAGTGATTCTCTTACAATTTGAAATTTTATTGTGGGCTCTATTTAAAATTGAGTTGTGCAGTATGTAAGCATGATTGTTCGTTGTAATTTTTTTTCAAAATCAGTTGAATTGAGAATTATGAGTGAGACGGGAGGAAAATTTGAAAAATAAAAAATTATTTTTATCGTGTCCTTAAATTATCACCTCAAGTTTATAATTTAAAAACATTTCTTATTATGTTTGGCTCTGTTTAATCGTCAACATCATCATCTCATTGTTATCATCATCATCATTTTAACCGCTATCATAATTTACGTCGTCGACATCATCATGATCATCATCATCGTCGTTGTCGTCGTCATCTTCATCGTCGTCATCAACAAAGGTTCCAGTTTGCTGGAAGTTCTGTCTTGTTTTCCCGAGTTGAACCGATTTATCGACGGTTTCCGACGAGTCGGTCGGCGAGTGATGATCGTCAGCGCCATTCCTATCGTCGAGAACTCCATCTTCTACAATCCTCCTCTTCATCATCCTCATCATCCACCTCATCATCATTCTCATCGTCATTCTCGTGATAACGACAGTGATAAGACTGATGATGATGGTGGTTCTTTGACCAAGCACAGCAGCGATAAAAATGAATCATTCGGAACCAGTAGCACTCAAGAAGGTTCCCAATTGGAAGGAAAGCATAAAAAAAACAACGAGTATGTGAACGAAGCCTTCGAGGACGACATTACGGTTTCGCCACTACCACCACCGCTACCAACAGCAGCAACGACAAACAAATCCAATTTAAAAACAACTGACCGAGAAACACAATCCAACTCCAACAAAAGCCACAACAATCATCTCAACCAGGAATATAAAGACAAAAGCACCACAACCAAAACAAAACCCACCAACAAAAACAACAACCAGTCGCAGAGAGCAGCTACCACAACGACTACCAACGACACACTCAGCGTTCTTGCAGCTCTTCAACATTTCATCAGCGTTGACAGAATGTCCTTTAGGGAAGCCAGGAATGTTTTCCTGAGGGCTCAGTATCCTCTTTCCTTAACCGGAGCTGTCGTATCCATGTTAGAATTCCTGGAACGATCCATGGTGTTGCAGAGAAAAAGAGCCGAAAGAGAATTTGGTCAAGAAGTGACAAATGGAAGTAAAGGCAGAAGTAAAATTTTTTTAAAAATTGCAAACAGTGAAAATATCGCTGAGAACAAAACAGGTTGACGTGATTGATGTGAATAATTTCGATCAAAAGCTTTCAACAATGCGTCGATTTTTATTGTATTTAATATATATTCTCACTAAAAATAATAAATTTTATGATTATTACAAGATATTAAATGAAAAAATTTAGTTGCTTTTACTATAAAACAATCTTTTGTAATTTGTTATACTGGTTTGACGCTTATTTGTTTATTTATTATTCTTTGATCAGTTATTTAAATGAAATGAATATAATGATTCATTTTTGAAAATTTCTTTTTCACTATATATATTCTTTTCTTTTGTCCTATTATTTTTTTCAAAAAGTGTGTATCTGCAAAGAATGTACTCTAAGGCGTTCAACAATTTAACTGTTAAAGTGATTAAATCGAACAATGTAAATGATCCAACTTGAAGGATGATCAACCAATCAACCAGTAACTCAAAATGATTTTTTAAGATTACATATCAAACAATAAATTTTTGTAATAGTCCTTGTTTCATTTGTCATTTTTCGTCAGTGAAATAATTGAAATGAATGTTGAAATTTGTTTGAATATGCCTAAAAATATATAACACGTATCTGTGTATGTACATATATAAATATTTAACAAATGATATATTACAATATACATAAATGTATAAATATAAATTTATATATTTGTATGTGTTTTTAGAACTTCATCACACACACACAAAGTGTACGCGTTTTATGTACGTGTGAAAATCACGCAATACACACGTCGCATGTGATAGACAGATATCTCTGCGTTCGAATCCAGTCGCTGCAACTCAAGACCAACAGACGCCTTTAACCACTACTCCATTGGGCCCACTATAGTGAAACAAGAACATGATCTCAAAATGTTTACATCATTTAATGAAATACAAAATTGAAAATCTATACCTAAATTTAACAAACAAAAGTTAAAACACAAAGTGGCAAACAACATCGGAAAAAACTTGGATAACCTCGTTAAATTTCTATTTTACTCGCTGTGTATCAGCGCTATGTTTAATCCACAACATTCTTACTTACATCAACAAGCTGAATGTAATTGTACATATAAATCATTATTTAAAAAAATATTTATTAAAAAAACATTTCACCTTACCATATTGTGCATATAGATCAATATTTAAAAAATATTTTAATAAAAAAACATTTCACCGTACCTACAAGTTTTACAAAGTTGAAGATAAAAATTTCAGAGAAAAAATATGAGACTAGTTTTGAAGATTTTCATAAATAGTTGATAAAATGTTCACATTTTTAGCAACAATTCTGAAGCAGAAGTGCTTATCAAAAAATCAACTAAACTCTAAACAAACTATATAATAATTTCTGTTTAATTTTTTTAACTTTTTGTTCCTGAAACTATTCTAACCGTAGTCAGAGAGTTGAGCAAAATTTCTCACATAAAATAGGTGAACAGCAAACATGTGCATTTAATTCGTATGTATTCTTAATTAAAGAAGATCATCAAAAATGTCCGAACGCGTTTTACAAATTTATGTGGAAAATACTTTAAGTGAAAATGATTTATTTTTAAAGAATACAGATTAAAATAACAACAGGTGCATTTAATATGTAGAGCATTAACTGTGTGCTGATGTCCTAGAGTTAGGTAGGTGCTTGTTTTGTTTAAAGTAGGAACTTAACAAAGCAAATACATAGGTTAGGATGTTGTTAACAATACATGAGCCCCCACACCGTTGTTGTTGTTTGTGAAAGTTTCAAAATTTCAAATTGAAAAACAGTTAAAATAAATACTAAAATTCTCTCTCAAAAGCTTACAATATTTTTGAATAATCAATTTGCAGATGGCCTAATTGAAACATTTATCAAACATCGAGAAAAAAAAAACAGAAGTGTTTTTTTCTGATTCAGAGTAAGTTCTTTTACAACAGGGGTGGGCTGTGAGGGCCGCATTGAAAACTATTTTACCTTTGAAGGGCCCTATATGTACCTACTCAAAGAAAAAGTTTTTTCGACCAGAGGAAGAATTTTTTTAAGATTTGTGGCTCCTTTTTTTTGTTCATAATTTCTGGCTGGCGACCTATTTTTTTGGCTAACAAGGCCAAATAGCTTTGAGGGCCCTTCGTCTCAATACAAAATTTGTTATTTCTCAAGACCGGTTAAACAAAATGTCAGGGACATAAAACGAAAAAACATAAAAATTTTAAACGTTAACTAACTTTTAATCATAACAGAAGTGATTTAATATTCGATGAACGATTATCGCACCACTGTAAATTTGAAATTCAGTTTATAAACTAATTTAGAAATAAAAAAAGAGCGATTGAAAAAGATTTGATTCAAAAGTTCAAGCGATTTTGGATGGATATTGAGATATAATAAAATAATTTGTAAGAATTAAGGGTGATTAATCAGATGTTTTAAATATTACATTATTAACACTATTTCAATATATAACTTCCAATAAACATTTCTCGTTAAAATCAAAATTATTTTTTCATTAAACCGTATCTATCATAGATGAAATATTCATTCACAAAGCCAAATCACATTTTGATTCAGGTAACGAGTTATAAAAATATTCGTTAACCAGATATAAGACCTGGACGAGAGATGTTAAATATTCCATCAACAAACATTCAAATAAACGTTGTTTTGAATTCTTATGAAAAATATTTTTCAAGTTATTTTTATATATTGCATGTAAATACCAGGTTCATTTAAGCAAACGTCTGAATATATTAATTTTTGGAAAAATGAAAAAAATTTTATTTGATTTTTCATTAAATTTCGTTATTTCAAACCGATGAAAAACGAGTTCGACAATTAAAATATATGTATATATATATATACATTATGGTGATTTGGTGTGTGGTTTAAGTGTGTGTAACCAGTACCTACTGCCTTAACTGCAGTCAAATTTTGGAAAAGCAAAAGTAATTAAATTTGTTCCAACGTTCTAATCATCCCAAGTAACAGTTCCAAACAAAGCATGTATCACGTAAAACATTACATAGACTTAAATTTAAATTAAATTTACTAGAGAGGATGATGAACGAAATGTGGACAATTAAATATGTACATTGTGTTCTAGAGTGGGTGATTTGCCCACGCGTTTATATATTTTTTTAAAAAATATAATATTAAATTAAAAATATTTACACTTAAAATTGTTCATGTAAATATTTATTTCAACCAAAATGAAAATGAAAGTTCGAAAAACGTATTCAATAAAGCAGTGTATGCAAATGAAATTACGAATGCAGCCAAAATTAAAATTCAATCACACACAACTTCCTTGTCATCAGCTGATTAGCGCAAAATATTTAAAAGTTTCAAAATGCCAGTCGACACAATAATCTATTTTCATTTCGTTTTTTTCAAAATAAAAAATTGTAATCAAGAACGGAATTAGGAACAAACACTGGCCCTAGATATAAATATATGAAAGATGACAAACCAACAACAAAAACAAAATAAACATATATATATATATATATATATATTTACATTGTTGAAATATCGTTTATTAAATAAAACCAAGATAACGCATACAAAAACACAAACACTTCCACACACACAAACAAACACACACAAATACATATACACATAGACTCACACACACACAAACACACACAGATATATAAATTAATAAATATTTTTATATATAATATAAATATATATATATATATAGTATATAGATGGTCACTTGGTCTGTAGTCTGGTTGGTCTTTTCTTGATGGAGAACTTAGGCAGACGACGCTTGTGCACCTTGCTTATCAATTTACGCTCGTCCACACACCTGCCCAGTAGCATCTTTGCAAATGCCAACCTGAAATGTTGAATCGTATTTTTGATTAACGATTTTGGGTATTATTATTTTATGTTTTTAAGTTTAATTTTAAATTTCTGTTTGTATTAATGTCTATTTCTTTATTTTAAATGAAATTTTTCTGTTTAACGGTGGTCTATCATAAGATCTTTTCTTTTCTGATCTCCGTATCATTTTCATTTCTTACAATTGTTTGATTTGAATTGATGAATAAATAAAATATTAAAATTATTAAATTAAATTATAAGTCCTATCCAGTTGTCAAATTTTTTTTTAATGTAAGAATTATATTTATTTTAATAATTTATATTTGTTTATTGTCTTATTATCTTATTATATACACCTCGTATCTACATTTAGAAATAGTTGTCAAAGTAGGTTCAACAAGAAATGATTATGCAAAAATAATGAAGTCTGTTCAGACATGAAAATAGTAAAATTGTTTTTAGTGTTTTCTTCATTGGTCACAACAATCAGTCACTACTAACAGTTTTCATAATTAAAAATTTATCAGAATATTTATATGGAAAAAATGCAAAAATCATTATTTGACAATTTTTTTTTAAATTGTCCAAATATACTTGAATTTTCATCATAAAACCTGAAATCCGGATTGAAGACCGTGTATATGATGGGGTTTAAAAGTGAATTCAAGTAACCAAGCCAGCTGGCCAGACTGATGATGAGAGGTGGTGTCGAACGAACTTGGGTCGAGAATGGTTTGAGGAGTGCAATAGTGAAAAAGGGCAGCCAGCATATGACGAAGGAACTTGTTATGATGGCAAGGGTTCGAGCCGCCTTTCTCTCTCTCTTTGTCTCTCTTTTTTCTTTTGCTCTCTCTTCGGCTGTCTTCCTTGGTTTTGGCGAGTGTTGTGTTAAGAACTGCTGTACTTTGAAACTGCTGAAATTTTGAAGAGACAGTTGTTGTGAATGCCGCTGTATGTGCTGCTGTTGCTGAAGGTAGGGCTGGGAGAGAAACTGATTGTTCGATCGGTTGATTGACAGCAGGCAAGGTCGACATGCAGCTGGTTTCAACAGTGAGAAGCTGCTACGTTTTTCTTGGTTGTCATTCTGAGGGCAGAATAATTCCAACGTGCTAGCAAATATAGCGGACATGGACCGGGAGCAGGTGACGAGTGAAGGTCGTTTGAGACTGTGGGGCGTGGGGGTCAAGCTGTTTTTGTTGTTGCTGCTGCAGCTGTTGACGTTGAGGTTGTTGGCGTTGTTGTGCTTTTTGAAATTGTTGGAGTCTATTTGGTTGTTGCTGCGCTGGATTGTATTTTCGTTTGGAAGATTGTTGCGTTTGTCGTTAGCACTTTTAATTTGGCTAAAACTTCTACTACTCCGAAGCGCTAAATGTTTGTTGTGAAAGATGGAGAAATTCGCTGTTGAGTTGGTCATGTTGTACTTGGTGTTGTCGAAGATGTCGGTGCCAACGGGATTCTCATCACAAATGTTTTTACTAAAATTATCGATAGAGTTGTTTTCAAGGTTGCTGTTTATAAGATTTACTTTGTTGTTAATATTATCGTTATTACGGTTAGGAGTGATTTCATTCTTAATGTTGCTGTTGTTGTTGTTACTGGTCATGTTGGAGCAATTTGTGTTGTTGTTGGAACTGTTGTGTAAGAAATTAATAGTGCTTCTATCGCCCATGCAGACTTCTTTATTAGGATAATAACAATCGTTTTCAGGAAAATTAGCATTAGCGATTATGTCATCTGAAAGACATTTGTCAGAGGAACGACTGCTCTGGTCTTGCTCAAAAACTTTCATTACGTAGTCGGTGTTAGTTGTGTTGTTGTTTTCGTTGATAGTGTTGATGTCATCACCATTGTTGTTGTTGTTTGTGTTGTTATTGTTAAGAGGCTTGCATTTGTCGTTGTTGCCGTTAAAGTTGTTGTGTGTATTGTTTTCCTTTGTGGCATTTTTAATGTTGTTCTCATCAACATTCAGGATGGCATTATATTTTCCAGCTGTGACATCAAAGATCTGAGAGGCTGATGTGTTTTTGAAACTTGATGTGATTGCCTGTGATGATGACGTTGGATAATTTGTATCGATGACATCAAGATTGTTGTTGTTGCCATCAATGTTGTTGTTGTTGTTGCCATTATTGTTGTTGTTTGTAATGTCAACAGTTCGGTTGTTGTTTTTCTCAACGTGCGAATTATTTTTCTCAATAGTTTGTTCAAGTTTATTGCTAATATTGTTGTTAATGTTAATGATTGTTTGAATGTTGTTGTTGAAAAGAGAACTCTGCTCTGAAATGATGTCATTCATGTCAGGACCACTTTTGTCATTTCTTACTCCGTACTCTCTACAAGCAACATTTTCATTCAAAATTTCATTGTCACTAACTGCGTAGTAACCGCTCTGCTTTAAATCTTCGTCAATAAATATCCTGTCCATGTTGTCTTCATCGTCAGCGTCATCATCGCTGACGTCATCGTCATGTTTGGAGTTGGCATCTTCATTGTCGTTATCAGTTTCATCCTGATCATCTTCCTCATTCTCGCTATCGGCATCATTATCGTCGTCATCGTCTTGGTAGATGCTTTCACCACAAAAAACGCTCGTATCACCACCATCGGCCACACGAACATCGTCATCATGACCGTCATCAGCGTCATCTTCGTCACCTGATTCATCACTATCATTAATCTTCACTTTGCTTTTGTTTTCAGTTTCTTCCAAACATTTATCACTATTTCTCCTTCTGTGAACATTAGCGCACTTTTCATCAGCATTATCGCCATTAATAACTTCCCTCACATCAACACTATTGTTGTTGTCATTGCCATCATCAATGTTATCGTCATCATCTTTGTTATCATCGACATTATCATCGTCATCATCATTCATGTCATCATTTGAGAAGCTTCCTGTTGTAAAATAAATATGATGAACAGCTATCCTGTAGTGCGTAATGCCAGCATCATCCGAGTTATTAGTGTCAGTTTTAATGTCTCCTACACATAAAGAGGAATTAAACTCTGGCGCCTGATTGCCATTTAAGATGGGAAGAATAGCCGATTTAGCTGTGAGATCGACATAAAACGCGTCTTTATCTTTATGGCGATTAACTTTTTTATTCTTTTTCGTACCACTTGACTCCTCTGAAATTTGATTATTTGTCAGTGAGTGCATTGATGGTTCTGAATCGTGTGAGATAAAAATTTCAGGAGGTGGTGGGGCCATTGTTGAGTTTGTGGCCAGTTCTCCGAACTTTCTACTACTGTCTCTATACTCGGAGACTCTCTTCTGAGTTTGTGAACTATTCAGACAATCATAACAATTATTCATTTCATTTTGAGCAAAGAAACAGCTTAGGTTTAATTCTTTTAAAATGTTTGTGTTGCTTTTGTTCTTATTTCTAGTGGCACTGTGATTGTGGGTGGTGTTTGTCATTGGTTCGAGGCACATCGTTCTTGTTTCATTTGCTGCTCCATAGTTATTTCGCTCCTCAGTTCCATCATCATCTTCTGATTTAACCTTCAGTTGGGAAAGGTCGAAAAATTTTGCAGAATTGTTTGATAATTTGAACAAACGCTTCGGCCATCTCGTGCTTTGTATTTTGTTCAAGTAAGAGCTGTTGCTGTTGTGACTGCTGGCGCCTCCAGCGATTAATACATTTTTTCTTCCAGGAGAATCAAATCTAAATTTGTAATTACATTCTTTATTATTTGAAACTGTTGAATGGACATTTTCTTCGCTACAGGTCCGCCGGTTTTCTTGAATTTTTATTTTTTCAAGACGACCGTACTTCGGTCTGTCGGTAGAGTCACTAATGTCAGCGTTTCGAGTAGTTTTATAATTATTAGAATTTACATCATTCTCAGTTATCGTAACACCCTTCTTTTTTAAAATCCGATCAGAGTTTTTATCACCAGGTTGGCTAACATAGCTTGCTTCTCTACATTTATCCAACTTTCGCGCATGGTTCTGATTTCCTGAAATGTCTTGCGAATCGACAACGAACGAGGAATCGTCCTCGCTCCCACCTTCGTATGGGTTTCTATTCTCAAATTTTGACAAACTATTCGCCTTGAAATACTTTTCAGTAAAAATCTTTTTGCCGCAATTCTCTTCGGGTCTGTCGTACTTATGTTTATTTTTATCGGAGAAAGCCTTCTTGCGTATTCTGCTCTTGGCAGCCCTGTAGATGCTGAGATAGATGATGATCATGACGACGAGTGGCAGGTAGAAGGCACCCACCGTTGAAAAGACAGTGTAGCCAATGTTCTGACTGATAGCGCATAGAGCAGCTGGTATGTGAAGTGGAGGAGTGGTGGTTGGAAGATGTTGCGAGTGAAGAGTGGTGTTCAGATCTAAGGTGTAGTAGTTGCTGTCATCGAAGAAGAACATTTCTGACGGTGTTGGTTTGTGAATTGGTGGGGTAGATCTTGGAGCTGATGAAATTGCTTTTGAAACTCTCGACTTTTTTAATGATGACATTAGTGATGGCACTGCTAATGGTGATGATGATAAAGACGTTGAATTTAATTTAGTTTTATAGGGCAGTGATGAAGAATGTGCTGTTGGAGTCAATTGCAAAACTTTTACATCATTTGTTGATTTAATTTTTTGAGTTTTGTGATGATTAATTTCATCAATTTTACGAACAACTCTATAGTCAGTTTTCACTTTTTTCACAAAATCATTTCGACCTTTCAATAAATTTTTACTACTTATGACAACTTTATTGCTTTTCAACGAATTTTTGTCAGCATTGTTGATATTTTTAACGTTGTGCTTGACATTTGACTTACGTTTAGGTATATGATAACTGTTGTTGATACAATCAATGCATCTTAAGGTTGAATCATCACCATCGAGATGTAAGATGTCTATTATGCGATTGTCCTTTACTGGAATTGTTGAATAGGTGGAGTGATGGTGTATGTTGTTGCTATTGTTGTGGTTGTTGTTGTGGATGTTTAAAATTTCAAGACTTCTCACATTTTTTAATGTTCTGTAAATATTTGCCACCCCATCAGGATCAGCACTTTTGTTGGCTTTGTTCAGTAATGTGTACGCTACATCTTTTGCGTCCAAGTTATTTTCGTTACTCGCGTTGGTATAATTGAGGCTGCCATCCTCCGCGGTGTCACCCCAGCCCCAGGGACCGTAGTGCGCGTTGTCATCATCCTTCAAGCCAAACAACCTTGGACTGGAGATGACAGCCGAAAAAATCCAACTGATAGCAACCAGCCACATGATTCTCTTGACAGGTCTGTTACGCACGTAGTCCAGACATTTCACCGCCCAGTATCTGTCTAGACTGATAGCCACTAGATGCAAAATTGACGACGTGCAGCAGAGCACGTCCATATACACGAACAAGTCGCAAACTGTCGCTCCTAGCAGCCAACGATCGCTGACCTCGTGAACAGCGGCTAAAGGCATAACGAGAACCGCTACCATCAAATCGGCCAATGCTAATGAAGCGACCAGCAGGTTGGCCGCATTTTGTCGCAGAGTCCTATCCGTGCACACCGCTGCCATGACCAATAAATTACCTAGGATGGTGAGAATGATGACTAAGGCTAGAGTTACTGAAGTAATTATTGAAGAAAGTTTATCGAGTGGTGACTGAATTTGTTGGTACGTCGACGTTGCTGAAGCTTGAGAAGCTGCTGCAAATGTCACTGCTGTTGTTAGTGTTGTTGTTGTTGGCGTCGTTATAAATGTTGTTGAGAAGATGATCGTTGGTGTTGTTGTTTTTATTGATATTTTATTGAAGCTGTTACTGGAGACGTTCATTTTGCAAGGGGAAGTTTACTACTCTTGTTACAAATTGTCTTGGCTCCTATAATGAAATAATTATTAAAATGGTTCAATATTTTTGTAAAAAGTATCAAAGATTGTCTGTAAAAATTATCTATAAATAAACAATGGAAAGATTTTATTTAAAAAAATGGAATAATGTTTACATGCTCGATATAATTTTGAAAATTTTTGGATAAAAATGAAGGAGGTTAAAAATAACATGAAGACTCTACAACAGCGAGAAAATATATTTGAAAAATGTTCACAAAACCAACAAAATATCATGAAAAAACCACAATAATCTTAAAAAATATCATCATTAATAACGTCACAAACAAAATATCATATGCAACAATATTTTGTTCAAACTTCAATATCCAAACGATAACAACATCATTGTTTTAATACAACTCACCAAACGAAAAACACAAAAGAAGCCAATGGGTAACAAATTAGGAAACAAATAATATAGGAAACGTCTAATACTGATCGCCTATGTCTCATTCCTAGACCTCGTCTCGGTGTAAAATTGTCTCGCGGAGCAACTGCATATGTAATGTCTGTATGTACTGACTTTTTTACTAACACTAGGGAACGTAATTTAATGCAAGATGTAGGTGCCTGTGTGTGCGTGCGTGTGTGTGTGTGTGTGGTGTGTGTGTGTGTGGTGTGTGTGTGTGCGTGTGTGTCGCCTGTAACATGTGGTGATCCACGTGTTGGTGAACCTGGTGACTCGAAACTTAGTGGAGGTTTACCGCAATGCCTCATTGCTTGTAACTTGTTTTTTAGTGACGTAATAAATAACAATTGGTATGAAATAAAATATTTTTCATTACATATTACATGCATGCGTAGTTATGGAGTTCAAATGAAAAATTATAAAGTTAGTAAAAGTTCGATAGAGTTCAAATAAAAATGAAGTTCACAAAAGTTCGAAATGCAACTACTGTAACTTTAATGCTAGTCCTTCTTTAACTGTCGATGTAGATATATAAATTAAAAGTAAAGAATGAAGTATTGAAGTTGTACTAAAAACATGCGATACAAAAAAGGTAGAAATGTTTTGAAAACGAAAAGGTTTCGGACGTAAAATAATTCAATAAATTTTTTTTGGTTTGGCCGATTGGTTTTCATAAAAAATTTGGTATGATTGCTTTTGAAAAATATGCTTATTATAAAATTATCAAACATAACAAACAACCAATCAAAGGTAATGAACACATATAAATAGTAATATGTTTATCAATGTGAACAATATGTTGTTGAGTGATGGTTATTTTTAATTATTAACACAAGTTATTCATCTAACTATTTGTTCATTCTATCGTTGAGAATCAAGAATAAACATTATAACGAACGTTACTACATCATTGATGCTGACATCGTGATATGACATCATGGTGACATCTTAATAACAATCGTAATCGTGACTTTATAAATCGAGAAAAATTTCATAGAAACACAAGAGGCTCCACTTGTACTACAGACTTGTGTTTCTATCCATTATTTGTACCAATCTCATTTTTCTCGTCTCAATAAGTTTGATATTATTAGCTGTTCTGTTATAGATAGTTCATTTAATTAATTAATTTAATTAGCAAATTAATTGAATGTTTGATTGTTTTAACCCGTGTGCTTTTTAATTTAATGCAAAGCCGGTTCCTAATCAGTGTTGTAAGAATACTATTCCATAATTTCAAACACATTTCACATTGATCACGACCATTGGACCGAGTTGTAAAAAATTAGCAAATTAATTTTTAATATTTTGATTTCTTTGCAGGAAATGCAAATTAGCTAATTGTAAAATTAGCTCAATTCATTATTATTGTTTAGTTACTGGATCGTATATATAGCTCGAGATTCCTGGAGAGAAATCACACTCGACAAATCATCGATATCTGTTTATTTACAATCTAATTTGCTTCAAGTTGAATTAAAGAATTGAAAATGGAAGGCAAAGAAATGTTTAGTTTCTGCAAATCTGGGTGTGGATTTTATGGCAGCTCCTCAACTGATGGTTATTGCTCGAAGTGCTACAATGAGAAACTTCTGAAGAATCTTGATGTAGAGAGCAAGCAGTCTGTTGATGGTGATTGTCTGGCTACAACATTTTGCGACGTGTCAATAAAAGAAAAAACGCTAGACGTTGGTGATTTCAACGCTTCAAACGAAGAGAAGAAATCAACAGACGATGCTCCAACCACAAAAGTGAAAGAGAAGAGTAACAAGTGCCACATCTGCAAGAAAAGAGTGGGACTGACAGGGTTCGATTGCAGGTGTGGCGGGCTATTCTGTGGTCTGCACCGATACTCAGACACCCATCAATGCACCTTTGATTATAAGGAAGAAGCGAGAAAGGAGATCGCAATGAAAAATCCAAAAGTTTCCAGATCGAAAATAGAAAAGATTTAGCATGAATATATTCGTTAAATTTTATATACTGAATTATCTGCATTTTTAAAAAAACATTAAACTCGTTTCAAAGTTACACTTGCTTTGTTTTTGCTAAAAAATTGTTAATAAAATCTTCAATGATACGATTGTGTTTAAGATTGTTTCCAAAAATTTATCTGCGAATAGCCCGAAATTAAAATGACGCATGTTCTGAAGAGCGCTAACACAATAACACCAGCAACTTTTTCTACTCGTTTCTGTTTTATTTAAAAATTAAAATGAACATTTCGAACGAAACAGGTATGTAATCAAGAGTTGTTAACGCTACTCACAAAATGAAGCGCCACTATCTCTACCGCTAATTTAATGAAAAGTTCGCAAATAAATATCTACCGCTAGTCAACCTTTTATATAAAAAGTGTTGTAGAAATACTCTTCGCTTTTCGCATTTTGATTGAAATCTCATACTTTACTGGCTGGAATGACGCGAAAAATTTCAATTGTCACTCACCTCTATTCCGAATTGGTTGATCACATGTTCACGCGTTTTACAACCACATAATAAATTTACGTTATAAAAATTAATATCACGTGCTAAAGTTGAATAAAGCCACGTGTTAGAGTTAAAACATCGTGCTAAAATTTATACGGATTTTTACAGAATACAATGGAAAACAAATCACTTTAGTTGCGATGTAACAAGATGAAAAAAATTGAAAACAATAGACAGATGTAGAAGCTATAATACGCCATTTAATCTCGATTTCTTTTTTTGAAGATTATCAATCATTTCGCCGATTTAATGAAGTTTAACTTTTGACTCAAAAGTAGCAGATTTTATTTTAGTTTTAAAAACAGTGCCATTAACATTATAGCTACTGCTCAATGAATGTCGCGACACTACAGCTACCGCTACTAAGAAGCAGGCGCTCCTGCGGCTACCACTATTCCGCTGGTAGAATCTGACAAAACTTATGGTAGTATTAATTGTTAAATGTCTTCTTAAATAACAAAATTAACGGCTTTGTATGAATATTTTGATTGTTTGTTTGACATAGTGAAATAGATCAAAGCAATCACAATCTCATACATAGACAAATGCAGACACATACATGCACACGTGTTCACACATACATACACACACATACAGATATAAGCTCGCACATACAAACATACAGACATATGTCTATTCATTCCGAACAAATCTAAAATAACATTTTGCATTCAACTGGTTGGATAGTAAAAATATTGAATTCAAATAAATGCTTAATGCATAAAAATTGTTGATGGTTTAAAAACGCATTAATATTTTCATTGGCTGGTCGGCGAATGATGTATGTATATGTGTGTGTACGTATGTGTATGGGTGTGTGTATATGTGTGTGTACGTATGTGTATGGGTGTGTGTATATGTGTGTGTACGTATGTGTATGGGTGTGTGTATATGTGTGTGTACGTATGTGTATGGGTGTGTGTATATGTGTGTGTACGTATGTGTATGGGTGCGTATAAATTTAAACTTCTGAGTAATAGAATTGGTTTCTTTAGTCTTCTAAGGTTAAAATTTTTTATTTCTTGTTCAAAACAGTCCAAAGTTTGAAAAATGTTTTTGCAAAATAATTTCAGATAAACCTGCTTTAATTAACATCAAAATCAGATATCTATATGATTGTTTCGTTAATTAAAACAAAACTGCAATACACGAAATAGTTAAATTTAAAAAAACTAAACACGCTGGCATGAAATTTTGAAAAAAAAGTTCTTGAATTTTGAAATTGTTGAAATATCCTAAAAATGAAAAACTAATTGATGTAAGTTAATAACTGTAGCAGAGGTTGAGATTTTAAAATAACTGACGCTACCTCGTGTAAAAAAAAAACAACTCACTTTCACGGTTGCTGTCAAGTTCATACTCAGTCATTACAAAAAACCTTTACAAGAAATTTTACATAACAATTCACTTACATTAACATTGAAAAAATCTTAGAAGCGATTGTAAAAAAAAAACTTTAACAATTATCTCATTAAATTTGCAATTATAACTTAAATTTATAACTCACGCCCGAAACTCTGAAAATATTTCAACACAGAGTCAACAACTTTGCTGATTGGTAAAATTATTTTTTAAAAAAGTTTCATCATCGCTCTTGTTATTTTAATTGATACTCTTGTGGTTGTTTGAAAATTTGGCCATGGTTAGAGTTAAATTCAACAAAATCTCAAAATAAATTTTAACTAAAAATTCATTCAGTTCGATATGTTGTTACATTTATAAAAAAAAATTTTTAATAGCAAAATTGGATAATAAAATAAACAATAAAAACAACAAGAATTAGTTGTCAGCTTACATTTCAAAATAGAAATAAGCTCCCACTCATATAACTGTTATGATGTCGCACCGACCAATGAGTAACTTCTATTTCACATTATTCACAAATATTAGATTTTGTATCACATTTCCGGTTTATTGTTTTATAATTCATTAAGCCTTATTTACTAGGTATGCGTGCATGCATGCATAAATGCATTGTACAGGTATGCATGTCATATAAACAAGCTAAATCAATCAGAGAAACAGCGAAATAACCAAAATGTACTATGATTTATTGAAACCAGGAATTGGGGAAAAATTATACAAAATTAAATAAACACAAAACGTTTACTCTCAACTACTTTAAAAAGAAAAATTGTCAATAAGCAGTATTGAAACCATGTAAATATTAACAGAAAAACTGATGATAGCAGGGGGACGTGGAAACAAATGTTTTGTTTATTTTCATTTTTGAGGGATAAAAAGCAGGTGACTGGGATCGATAACTCAGGTGATACTTACTGTTATTAAATTTTTTCCGCCATGCAAATTTTTTTCATCCGGTTGAATGGTGATCATTTTGCACTGAATAACTTTGGGCTAATCATGAATAAATTAGAGGAAAGTGTTCTTAACACGAGGTTGAGGAAAGAAAATAAAATATTTAAACTTGAAAAGCGAGAATTTTAATCATATATCAATTTTTCGTAAAATAAAAACCGGTGAACAAGAAAATGTACTTAACAACACGAAAAGAGAAACACGTAAACGATGGTAATAATATCAATAAAAATCATCATTTCTGTTTGAAATTGATCATATTTAGTTTTACAATTATTTCTGCTTGAATTGTTTCATAAGCGGGTTATTAATGTTTTCTAAAGACTAAATTACACTAAATTACACAAATAAACTCGTTTGTTTAATTGTGAGGTCTTCAGTCCAGAAAGTCAATCGCTAATTTTCTTTTTAACTTCTTATTCCGTCTTTGTTTTTTCAATTTTATTTACGTTCAATATATTTTCTATATGTTTTTTCATTTTTTCTGACTTGTTCTAAATTATCAAATTAAATACAGTTTTGAAGTTTCAAAAAAGAATGCAAAATTATCATTGACATGAACTTGACTCTTTGTTGATAAAATATTTTCAGATAAAAGTAAATTGGAACATTCGTTCATCATTATGACCTGCATGCAAAACATTTTAACATTTAATATTTTATAAATCGACAAAATTGTATTTTTTTAAAAATTTGATTTGAAACTATTTTTTAAATAATTAACAAATTGGTCCCGCTGAGCACCTATTGTCTTTTTCAGTGTTCTTAAAATCGTCATCAGATCTGCTGCCATGTGTGGCTTGAAACGCTGCCACTTGCGGAAATGCCTTGGTTATAAATAGCGACGGACACGATTATGTGACGATGGTGAAGACGATGATGTTGATGCTAAAAGCTAATAATAATAATAATAATAATAACAACAACAACAACAACAACAACAATAATAATAGTGATAAAAACACCAATAATAATATAAATGATGACGATGATGATGTGAATGATGAAGAAGATGATGATGGTGATGATGATAATATAGATGATGATATCTTCATAACAAATCAGTCCTATAAGAGTGGTGATGAAGATGATGATGACAAACAGACGACTGCATTGCAGAAACTTAAGAATAAATAAAACTGATCCGTAGTTATTATTCTGAAAATGAATTCAAATTATTTCTTCAAAATTTTATTTCAGAAAAAATTGAATTTTCAAATGTAATTAAGTCTGAAGCCGAGGTTGTATTCTATTTTTCTATTATGAATTCGATTATTTTTAAGTTTCATTTTTGATATTTTCATTTTAGATACTTTTAGTCACGTTAAACAGTTATATTTTTTTACTTAATGTATTTAGTTTAAATTTGTCAACATTTAATTTTGTAGTTTGTTTATCTATGATGGAGATTCTACGCTGGCATTGAGCTAAAGGTGTTTGTCAAATGAACATCTCAATGCGATAGTTTGCGATTGATTTTCTGAAAAAGTTCTCCGTTTAATTTTAATTTGTATAATAATAATTCCATATTCCGACCAAAATACTCTTTTTAATTGGGATTATCAAAAGTTTTTTAAAACTGTTTTTGGAGTAAAAAAATAAAATGCGATAAAAATCAAATAAAATTTGTACCTGGCTAAGTGTGAAACTGTTATACTAATTTTCCAGAAACGAGTTTGGTCCACATAGCATGTACAATAACAGAGCATAACAAAAAATTAATTAGAAATAATAATAACAAAAAATATAAATAATAAAAAGTACTAAAAAGTAATGAAACTCACTGCACACATGCACACCTTAAATTAGTTAAAATTAAAATTTAATTTGCTAAAAAAAAGATTGAAATAAGTTGTTTCCTCAAACTCTAAATACAATGCTAACGTACGTAAGTCATGTCCGCCCGTACAGACACAAACGCACTAGGTGTAATAGAATAATAACATGGTTAGAAATCATCGGAATAATAGTAATAGAAATCATACAAATAATAAGAATAATGTCATTTGTATAGAGCCCAATATATCTCTATAGGCGAGTTGTTTGTCTAGGAACATAGCAAGGTTGAACAGGTCGATGACCTCTTTGACTTAAAAGTTTTGAGTTATTGGAAAGCAGGTTTATGTCCAAATGTGAATATTTCAAA